TAAAAATACCATTCAAGAAGCAGAAGAAAAATAAATGAAGTTGTCTTATCTGAGAATCATCCATTTCTCAACCATGATTAATCTGAAAGTATACATTCTGGACATTTCCTTAATTGGAGTCGACATGTCGCCTTTTGAAATTTTTTGAGGTTTCAAATCCCCCTCGTCCTAGAAATAGCCTGCTCACCCTTGGGAAAAACTCCTAAAAGGCTGGAGATCAGGAGGACATCCTCTCAACCCCAGACTTAGGAAAGGAAGAGTATGTTCTATGTATAATTACATCTACATGTTGTTGTATACCAAGATTGTATGTCCTTCCGTTTGTATTAGAATTCTCGTTTAGTTTCCCTTTCCCCCCTCAATGTTGTACATTTTTGCATTATTTTATTACAATTATATGATACAGAATTAACTGTACAAAGATTGGCATTCTACATAAAACTGAAAAGGAGGGAAAGACTAATAAGAGAGAAAACTGGAAAGGACAAGAAAGAAAAAAGAAAGAGAAAGATGAATCCTCTTCTGGCAAAGTTGTAATGACAGAACGTATTGAAAAGAGCCTAGAAGGGCTGGTATATACCACCTTCCAGCAACATATGGCAGTTTATTGTGTTGTGGCAGCTGTATTGAGCAGAATCTGATGATCAGGACTTGGGGATAGCTCCAGCACAGAGTCCTGTGAATAATGGATTTTTATTTTATTTTTTTACAAATGGTCTAGGATTTGTATTGTATAGTTGTATGTATCAATCAAGAATTGTTTGGAGGAATAAAAAATCTGTGTCTAACTTCTGTTTCCCCCTCAAAATCTCCTCCTCAATGAGATGCAAAATACTGTTGCACTTAAACTCTATTCTATGGAAATACATAATACTTGAATTTTTCGCATTAGATTTAATGTTTCTGGGCTTATTTTTGGCATACAGAAATAGTCAAAATATGTTGTTGATGAAATGAAGAGTAGGTGGATATGTGCACTCCTGTTCTTTATTTTTCTGCTACATATATGGTTAGTTCCTTACCACCTGATAATGTTGTTTGTGTTTGTTTGTGTTTTGCAAACGTATTTCTGAAGCCTCTCATGTAGCCTCAGTTTAAGATACACACAGGTCCATAGTAGTGCCAGATGTTCATTACCACAGTATTTCAATGAATGTGGTTACTATTTTAGCCCTAAGGAGTTCTTCAAATGCAGTTCTGAGATTCACTGTTTCTCTTTGCACACTGTTTTGGAACACTCTGTATGGAAGACACTGTGTAAACTTAGTTGGAACTGACTCATTATCATAAGTTGACCTAACTTTCTTGGAACACCACATCCCATTAGTCGTTGTTGATATATAGAAATGGGTGCTGAGTCATTAATCCCTGTTTATTCAACTTCAGTACAAAACTAGAGTGAGAAGAACCTTACAAAGAAGGAAAATGGAACATTCTCTGAAAGCTTGCTGTTGTGTTATGGAACTCTGGCAGAAATCCTGCTCTACCAGATTAGACTTGCTTTATTTCAGTATATGATCTAAGACAAGGGTCCTCAAACTAAGGCCCGGGGGCCGGATGTGGCCCTCCAAAGTCTATTTACCCGGCCCTCGCTCAGGGTCAACCTAAGTCTGAAACAACTTGAAATCATACAACAACAACAATCTTATCTCATCAGCCAAAAGCAGGCCCAAACTTTCCATTAAAATACTAATAGGTTTATATTTGTTAAAATTGTTCTTCATTTATATTATTGTATTGCTTTTATTTTTATTTTATTTTTTGCACTACAAATAACATTTGTGCAGTGTGCATAGGAATTCATTCATGTTTTTTTTTCTTTCAAATTATAATCTGGCCCTCCAACAGTTTGAGGGACTGTGACCTGGCCCTCTGTTTAAAAAGTTTGAGGACCCCTGATCTAAGAGTTCTGCTAGGACCATTTGGGTATATGAAGCTACCATTATACCTATTACATAGTATGAATGCTGAATTCAGATTAGTCTAGTGACGAAATTACTCAGGAATGTCTCAAACTAAATAACAGCTGTGAGAGCATGAGATATAAATGTACTAAATTATCCTTCCCCAACACAGCACACCTCACATGACTGTAACTTCCATAATCTCCGAGCACCATGTTATATCACTATCCGTATACTCTTGTTCTAATTTTTTTACAACATTTCTGTTTCCCTGCTCCAGACTCCAGTCTAATTGGTTAATTAGTTCAAAGGACATCTCTCATACCTCAGATGTCAGAGTTGAGCAAACTAAACCAAAATAGTGGGTTGTTCTAGAAGCATTCTCTCCTGACATTTCACCTGCATCTGTGGCAGGCATCCTTAAACATAGGCAAGGTCCGATTTTTTTTCTTCAAGTCTTTCTACCTTTCTCCCTGCTTTTCCCTTTATCTCCCTATTTTTCTCATTCCTACCTTTCCTTCCCACACTTCCTCCCTCCATCCTGCATTATTGATGGGGGTTTTTTTTGTACCCCTTCAAGTCATTTGACTTGTGGCAACCCTAAGGTGAATCTATCATGGGTTTTTCTTGGCAAGATATATTTAGAGGGATTTGTTTTTGCCTTCCTCTAATACTGAGAGTGTGACTTGTTCAAGACTTATTCTGTTACTAAATAAGAATTTGAACCATCATCTTTAGAGTCATAGTCCAAATACTCAAACAACACCATGATGGCTCTTCCTTTTCCCACACACATAGAAAAAAAATAAGTGCCCCATAACCAAAATAATTTGGTTATGGGACACTGTCAGATTTGATTGGCAGGAACTGGACAGGGGGAGTGTTCTCCAGTAAGTTCTACTTTACCTCTCGATATCATCAACCATGCTACCCATCTGTTCCTATTTGGTGAAGTGAACTCAGAAGGTGGTTTTGGGAGATGGCCATTGGTCTGTGGAGTTCTGTTCCCATGTTGTTCTACATGAAATCCCTCAAGAGAGGTGTCTTAGAATAATAGCCCACTCTGTTTATTCTTTGCATCAAACTCCAAGGAAATTGTTTTGGTTTTAAAGCAGTGTCTGGTATCAGTCATCCAGTGGATAAAGATAAACAAAGATACTCCTGGCCAGTGGAAAGATACATCTGAGAACAGGAATGTGCTGGACTGGATAGAGTTATACTCCCCTGAAAATGTAGCTTTCCAGCCTTGAACTTGAAAACCCAGGCTTCTATGGTGGTCAGAAACACTTAGAGCTAGTGCACTAACTGCACCTCTTCCTGGCAATAACAGATCGGGTCCAGGCAACGTATGCCTTAGTTATATCCCACTTGGATTACTGCAATCTGTATGTGGGACTGCCTTTGAACAGTGTTTGGAAATTTCACAGTTGGTACAAAGAGCTGCAGAATGTTAATTGGCACTGCTTACAGGGATCATTCAACTCTCTTGTTTCCAACAGCTTCCCTAGCTTTTTTTGATCACAATTCAATGTTCTGGTTATGACCTATAAAGCACTATATGATGTATATTCGGGCTGTTGGCTTTCCTTTTGCCAGCAGGCAAAGACTTTTTAAAAATAGGCTTTTAATGTATAAGCAGCAAAGCTCACTGGGATTTTTTTATTTATCTTTGTAACTTTTTTACGCTTTTCTATTATTTTGTACTGTTTTATATGGTGAGTTTAATTGTTTTAAATTTTATTGTGTCATTTAATTTCTGTTAAGATCTGTATTGGGTCCCATTCTGGGGGAAAGTCAGCACATAAATGAAATAAATTTTTATTTATTAAAGAAAGGATTTTGTTCCTGCATCTCAAGTAGCAAAACCATTTGGCCTGTCCCTGGTTCTCATTTAATTTCATGGCATAGATCAGCCTTAATTTTATTGTAAGATGCCCTGTATTATTAGAGATTCTTCTAATATAAATCATTGTTTGGTTTGGAAGTTTCAGTGTTGGAAGGTTCAAGCATGATAGGGATCTTGATTGCTAGAAACACAGGAAAGGGGTGTTCCAGTGGCAGAATTAAGGCTTTTAGAAATTCTTCCTTTAAAAATATTTGAATGACTCCATTTTTGTTAACTTTGTGCTCTATTTAGTCTTTGACTGAATGTGTAATTAACATGTTCCAGAATAAGATATGCTGAGGCCTTACGCTATGTCAGATTTTAAAAGCCTCTTACAATTACACCTGAAATTATTCCCACAACTTAGCAATTTGTTTGCATTTAGAGGTCGTCATGTACTTAGACCCCGAGTTATAGCTTACTTATCCTGTCCATAAATCTATGTTTTTAGATATTATTATCTGATCTTGTTTGTTTAATATTTCTTTAAAGTTTTTAATATATGTATGGCATGCTAAGAATTTTATTTGACTGAAAGGCAGTGCATTAATAATGGTATGTATGTATGCATGCACACACATAAATACAGATTATATACTATATAAAATAACATCATGACTAGGCATATGCAGCTTAGGTATCTTGGAAAGCAAGATCTTCCACTGGTTTTGCTATACATCTTCCTTCCACTTCCTTGTTATTTTGCTGCTTGCTCAATCGAGACAAGCTACACCAATGTACCTCAGACTCTGCATAAACTAGTCTATGTTCCAGATTTGCATCTAATACTGTGAGACCAACTTCATGCATATTTACAAGACAATGAAGATCACTTATGGCTTAATTGCTGAGATCTGTAAGACATTTGTATATCGCAAGTACTTCTTTCCAGATGTACGAGCAAATTAAAGGAGACCTATTGTAATGTTGCATCAGTTCACAAAGTAATGTAATGTATTACTTAGGGAATCCCCGTGTTAGATGTCTGAGGAAGGCAATATATTTCGGGATATAACTTAAATAAATTGTATATTTACTGATGGCTGCCCCTTTTCTTATAGATTTTGTGCTGTAACCTGCTGATGCAACCCTATTCATGTTTCCTTTGTCAGATCCTTGATACCTGAAATTATTGTTTATTCATCTTCCTTATTAAGGAATATGTGAGATGTGGAATGAACTTTCCAATGTATTATTTCTTTTCTCTACAGATAATCTGATCAAAGCCATCCTGTCAGCAACCAAAGATTACCGCCTTACTCCAGCCCTTGACAGGTAAGTAGATAGTTGTGAAAGGCAAGGCTGGAGAAGTCCATGCTTACCAGTATGAACAGTCTGCTTATAGATTCTTCATTGATTGCTTTGAAAGAAAATGAAAAATTGGGGAAAGTGTTCCTGTTCCAATCCATAGTATATGTGAAATCCAGGCAGGGAAGTTGATTTGATTTGATATTACAACCTGCTTGATTGTGTGCTTTTCAAAATAAATAGCCAGGTATCTTTCAACAAGTGCATTAACTTGTCACAACTTCCCCTGAAGTGTGACGGTATGGCAAGATGATTGTACAATGTTCCATTCAAACAAAAATATAAGGCTCATCTTGTTCTCACTAAGAGACCCTCTCCTAATAGCTGCGGTGCAGTAGATCTGGCGATAAGATTGTTTATGGGAATTTTTATCAGTTTCTGGTTGGATTGAGCTGATGATGCATACCTGTTTGTGGGCAAACTACCAGCGACACATGGATATGTGTATGGGTGGATATTTAGGTGCATTTACTTCTCAAGCCCCTGGAAGATTTACTTCTTTGGACTATTTGGCATGTTGGCCATGACATTCTGGCAACTGTAGTCTGAGAAAGGAACATTCCTAAATCTATGCTCCCCACTGTACTTGACATTTTAGTTGTGCATGGCATGCATTGGTTTGTGATTGTCAATAAACCTAACTGTACATGATGTAACTGAATATCAAATGGGTTGTTGTAGGTTTTTTCGGGCTATATGGCCATGTTCTAGAGGCATTCTCTCCTGGAGAGAATGCCCATTTTCTCTGGTGGTATACATGGTGGTATTAACTCAGTGATTCTGGCCATGAAAGCCTTCGACAATACATTGAATATCAAATTCTTGCTGCTGAAGTCTGGTTAATTATTATGTTCTTGAGCTCTGTCTATTTTCTTAGTGTCATGCCATATTTTGCTAGATATTCTTTTTTGTAGCTTCTTTCGTTGCTTTAGGGTGTCTAGCTAAATATAATCCATGTTCTAAATTCAAGACTTCGACATAATCAAAACACTAGTCCCAGCTACTGATGACCCATTAAATGAATGAAATGTAGTTGAAGCTAGTCACCTAATTTGCCCAAAATTTGAGTAACTAATAGCTTTACTCTCAAAACAAAATATATGGATTTATTTCCTAGAACTGGAATGTGTTTGGCAGAGTTTGAACTGAGGCATGTGAAAGTGACAGGAAAGACTCATGAGAGTGAGGAAATAATGGTTGCTGGAAAACAGATAGGAAGCTGTGGACAATAACATATTTTATTGTACAGTATAACTTCAACCTGGTTTTTGGAATCCGACAAGTTTTGACAAATGGATTTTCAAGCTTTTACCAGATGTTTGGTTTAGGTAATGTGGTGTTCATAAAACGAGAAGACTGATTATCCTGTTTTTACAGAATTTGTGTGAGGATGAGCTAAATAAATACTGTAAATCACTCTGCATATTGTAAGTGTCATTAAAATTGGACTGCAATTTTCTAGTGATTCAGGAAGCCTTTTCTTTGCTCTTCAGCCAAAATTCCACTCAGCATCTTATTTGCCCAGGAGTATTTCCAAATGTCTGCCTTATTTCTGATGTGATTGTCTTTTGCATTTCTAACTTGGTCTACAGGCAATCTTATGTTGCATTATCTTTTCTAATAGTCTTTTGAGGCAAACTGTAAAGTTTCCCCAAATATACTATTATTTGTGGCATCCCACAGAATTCCCACTTCCCTTTTCTTAATGACAGAGGGATTTAGTGTAACCCCAAATTGGCTGCTGTACGCAATTTCTTCACACAATATGTATATTTTAAAATAGCTTACAGAATGATGGGGAAGCGTAGATGCCGTCTGCATTTTTTCTAATGTCATAGTAGTAAACCCATGCTTTTGTGTTATTCAACTCCTTCTGAACTGAGAGGAAGCTCTGTTAACTCCTCTTGATGAAACGATGAAGGAGCTCGTACTAGCCATTTTGGCTTGCGTAAGAGGGACACAGTATTTATGGTACTTACTTTGCATTTCTATCCCACTTTTCATCTCTTTTGATAAAGGTAACATATGGTATATTCCTTCCCATATTTTATCACAGTAACCTTGTGAAGTCAGCCAGTTATGTCTCAAAGGAGTGTGACTGGCCCAAGTTCAGCCAGTGAGCTTTCTAACTATGTATGTAGAGATTGGAACCTGGGTCTCCTTCACACTCACCTAACATTAATTAAGACTGTGCTGTAGTGGTTGTCAAATACAATTGTATTTAAGTAAAGTAACAATTTGTGTGATAGAGGCCCCTACCACACAGCCGAATAAAATCCCATATTATCTGCATTGAACTGGGATATATAGCAGTGTGGATTCAGATCCCAGTTCAAAGCAGATATTGTGAGATTTTTCTGCCTTGATATTCTGGGTTATAGGGCTTTGTGGAAGGTCCAAGAGTTTGGTCATTTTTTCCAGCTCTCTGAGACAAGGACAAAAGGAAATGAGCATAATAGCAGGAGGAGTGAGCTAGATAATAGTAATATAAAAGCAAAAACAAAAACAAAACAAAAACAAACCCCAATCCTCCATTTCATTAGAACGTTAAAAGTCCTTTTAAAGCAACAATGTCTTTGTTTCATCAGTGGGCCCTTCCACACAGCCATATAACCCATAAAGTCAAGGCAGAAAATCCCACAATATCTGCTTTGAACTGGGTTATCTGAGTCCACACTGCCATATCTTCCAGTTCAAAGCAGAACATGTGTGATTTTATTCAGCTGTGTGGAAGGGGCCTGTGTTTCTTTGAGGTTTATAGCTGGATGATTCTGTTAAGATTTACTGAAACCTAGCCTCAAGTGGCCTTTTGCTTGGAGGGTGGGTGGGGTATCTGTTGGCAGGAGGTTCCTTTTGAGTTCTTAGAAGTGCCAGCCAGCTGCAGCTTTGCCTAACGTTTGCTGAAATACAGCAGGCCAGCATCTCAGTAGTTTTGCATCTTACACTTATTGACCCACTCAAGTGTCATTTACCCAATAAGGATTACCAGTCATATTTTTCTTAAGCATGTAATTGGTTCTTGTCCTTGCATGTTTGGGAAAGCTGCCATATACAATCATGCCGTGCTGTGCATGATTAAATAGCATTTGATTAAGCAGTCACTAATCTTTTGAGCAAAAGGGGAATGATCTTGTGCTCAGTTTCACTGTATAATATGGAATGGGAAACTTTTCCCTTGTAGTTGTTGGTTCATTAGGAATTGAAACATTCTGTTAGCTATTTAAATGCAGGGATTTCACTTTGAGCCAGTAAGCCTATGATATGGTGAGAACAGTTCCTCCCTTGGCTGCTGTTGCTGCCACGCTCCTTGTACTATAAAGTGTCAGTCTGTTATTATGAATTAATACAGTACAGTCTCTTGGTTATTCTTGCAGTGCCTGGATCACTTCTTGACCAGAGACAGCTCTACGCTTGTGCTTTGTGCTGTTTAACCAACTGCCCTTCTCTGTGTTTCCTCTTCAGTCTCAGTTGCCGACGATGCATTATTGTGGGAAATGGTGGCATTCTAGCAAACAAGTCGCTGGGGGTGAAAATTGATGATTATGACATTGTTATCAGGTGAGTTGGCTGGGATGTTGTGTTATGTGCTTCTTTTACTGTTTAGGATGTCAACATTTAGACTAAGCAGTGAGCTGCTATGGTTCATATTATGAGAATTAATATAGTATGAAGTTATTTTTAAGCTTTTGAATCTTTTAATGTCTTACTCCTATTTCAGTGTTAGAAATTGCTATCTGCTTGTGATCCATAATCCATTCTTCTATTTTCATGGAAATCTGTTTAGTAATATATTTGTCATGTTAGTCTGTTTTGCATCGATGGCAAGTATCCTCAGAGGTTGTGACCTCACAACCTCTGAAGATGCTTGCCATAGATGCATGTGAAATGTCAGGAGAAAATGCCTCTAGAACATAGCCATATAGCCCGAAAAAACCTACAGCAACCCAGTGATTCCAGCCATGAAAGCCTTCGACAATACATTAGTCTGTTTTGCCTAAAGTTACTGGCCAATAGCAGTCAAAATAGCACTGGGGAAAACATTCCAGTTGGCCATGCACTTATTATCTTTAGAGCTACTGCAGAGTGTGAACTGTTTAGTGGGAGAAGGGTTGAGGGAAATAATGAGTCATGCTCAACCGTGTTTTGGCCAGACACAAAAATGATTACAATATCAGAGTAATTACCTCATCACACTAGAGAATTAATCCACTTTAAATCCGGTTTCTGCCTCTTTCAGAATTCTGGGATTTGTAGTTTAGTCAGGCTGTTAAAGGCTCCTCCCTAAAATACAAACCCCAGAATTCTGCAGGAGGCAGCAACCGGATTTAAAGTGGATTCATTATCTAGTGTGAAGAGGCCCTAAGACCATCTTTCTGTGCCACATTTGTTGCTGGGGATAAGGACTGGTTTAAAAGGCAATAAATGGAAAAGTTTTAGGCTTTGGTCAGGCAAAAATATTTTCCATGTTAATTTTGCCATGGAATTCTTACCAAGGAGTGTCAGTAAGGATGGAACTCTTTATTGGTTGTAAGGAAGAAACAAAACACAAATTTCAAATGTTAAACTCATTTAGATATTTGGATGTCTGAGTGGAGGGCAAGGGTTGTCCCACTGGGACAAATCCTTCCACTTGTTCAACCACATGGGAGTAGCGATGAGGAGGAACTTTCCATATATTATGTCTTGCCTAGAAACTGACCTGGATGTTGTAGCTTCCTTTACGTCTCAAATATAAATATGTCAGAGAGGTAGAAAGGAACCTTTTTGATCTACTTTAATCTATTTTAAATACAAAAACAGTAATCATGATCCATCTCAAGGCCTCTGACTTCTCACTTGGCCAACATAAATGAATGAATAATTATGCTGCACACTGTGACTATAAAGATATCTACAGGAAGCTTTATATTTACATAGTTTCTATTCCTGCTAAGTCATTATGAAAATATATAGTTAACCTTTTTGAGGAGGAGTAGCTTATACCTCCTCTTTGGAGAATCGTTTCACTATGGGATCACTATCTGTCTTTCCTTGTGCCTCAAGGTGCAGTTGTCAGAAAAATTCCTTGAAATGGATCCCTGTTGACAGGAGCAGGTTCTCTCTGTTCCTGGACCTCCTGCACGCTCACTTTATTATTGGTTGCCTTGGCACACTCAGAATTAATGTAGGCTATTACTTTCTCAATAAATTGCATTGTTATTTGCTACTTGTAATTCTACTACTGTATTACTTTGATGGGGAGTTCAAATGCATTTTCAGTGATGATATTAGATATAGAAATCGTGTGTTCATACCTCATAAATCAGCATACGAGTATGAATGCATGTACATAGAAACTATAGGCCTAATTAGCACTGCTCAAGGAATATGGAGAGTTGTGGTAGCACCTCTGGATGAGGCAGATTTCATTGCATTTGGTGCTATGCACTCTGTACTTCACTAGGTAAGAGCTATGTTGTCAGCCAGAAACATTAAGTTATGCAAGATCCGAGGCTGCTTCTGAAAACATTTCATTCTTCCTCAGTAAGATCTAATAATACAAAATCATCACATTCTGACATTCTCCATCCTACACTCAGCCAATGAAATGATGGGGTAGATTAACAAGAAACACAATCTGCATGACAGTTTTCATATTAGTAAACAAGATGGATGTGGAGCACAGTATTTTTCAGACTCACTGCACACCCGGCATAAAGTCTGGTTACAGGCTATGAAGAGATCCAGTTAGGTAGGGTTCCACACCTTTAAAAGTGAAAGTGCTTATTTGACGCTTTCATTTAATGGAGTGTATGCATTGATTATGTGATTTTAATATTTATACTATGATGTTCTTAATGCTTTGTTTTAGTGTTTTAATGTTGTTTATGTCTTATGTTTAATGGCTTTAATGATTTTAATTTTTAGTTATATGGTAATCTTAGTTATTATGGGTTTTTTCTTTTTCTATGTATATGGCATTGAATTTTTACCATTAATGTGTTGTAAACTACCTTGAGTACCCCCTTGGGGTGAGAAAGGTGGTATATAAATATAGTAAACAATAAATAAATATGCAAGGCATTCAGAATTTTTGTTCTTTCCTGACAAGATTGAATGCATATAGATACTTTAGCTTGTCGACATCTATCTAGTTTCATCTTATAATACAGGTGGGAGTCATACAACCCTCCAGACTCTAATTCCCAGCATTTCTTACCTGTAGTTACTCTGGCCAAGGCCACTGAAAATTGCAGTTCTACAACATCTGGATCACTGCACAATTCCCAGACCTGCCTCACAGAGTAGTCCAGCACAGTATCCTAATTATAATTATACCACCAATTGAACTGAAGGTGAAATACACCGTAAAACTTATTAGAACACTTATGCATTATAACAAGCTGCAGTGGTATTCATGGGCTCAATTTTATGGTCTTTACAGAGACTAACTGGTTAACTCTCTGCCCCGGAGTGTGGTGGAGGCTCCTTCTTTGGAAGCTTTTAAGCAGAGGCTGGATGGCCATTTGTCAGGGGTGATTTGAATGCAATATTCCTGCTTCTTGGCAGGGGGTTGGACTGGATGGCCCATGAGGTCTCTTCCAACTCTTTGATTCTATGATTCTATCATCTGTTCCATATGTTTTAAGAAAGAAACTACTGCAGGAGGGATAAGAGTGAACTATTATAATTTCCTTTTCATTTCTGTTGAGTTTGTGACTATTAGCTTAAAATGAGTTCTCAGCTTTACTTGGGCCACTGGAATAAATTTTTTTGTGATTTTTTTTGCTGCTTCACAAGATCCTGTTTGTTTATCACTTTCTACAGTCAGTGTGGGAAGCGTGTGGACCAAGTAGGAGGAGCTCCAAACTCAATTTATTTTGACGTGCAATGCCCCCTGGCATAGTCCACAAACCATTACTAGTATGTATATGTGCGTGTGTGTGTTTGCGGGCACGCACACCCATGCACATTAGTATGTACAAATGGGTAGGTGCAACTGGGTCTATCTGTTTAGATAGTTATGACCTCACAGATTGAAACAGTAGTGCATTTACAACTATTTAATTCCTTTCCTCTATCCTGCCACCACTCTCATTTGAATTTTGAAATTAATGCAGCTGAAAAGTCTTCTCTGGTCTTTCTGCAGGTTGAACTCTGCTCCGGTGAAAGGCTTTGAGAAGGACGTTGGTGGCAAGACAACAATGAGGATAACATACCCAGAAGGGGCCATCCAGAAACCAGAGCAGTATGAGAAGGACTCTCTGTTTGTGTTAGCAGGATTCAAGTGGCAGGATTTCAAGTGGCTGAAGTACATTGTTTACAAGGAAAAAGTGGTAAGCGAAGTCACTTTTCAAAGAGAAAATCTTGTAATTTCATGAGTGTTTGTTGTCAGAACAATGGAGGGTGGTGCTGTACTTAAGTTTCTTGCACATCTCTGTTTCTATTGACTTTTCTATCTACCTCAGTTATGTGCATATGAGTGTTACTGTATCCCTCTAATTACATAATAACATGGGTATGGATCCCTAGTATATTCATTTGAAGCAGTTTGGAAATGTGTACAGACATAAAGGGTTGTAGGCCACATAACAAATAATTTGATACAATAGACAGAACATCTCTTTAAAAGCCATGTGGTCGCAAGTTGTTATTAATAGAAGTAATGCTGATAAATTAATCCATCAGCTATAGCTAGTAAATTCAAACAAATTAGGAAAGTTGGCTAGCCCACCAAGAGGTTCAACTTCTCAACAGAATATAGTCTGCACAGCCCATAGATGAACAGGTTCCACAAAATATTTTAATTAGTGCTTGCCTTTAATAAGGAAATTCCAGATTTGGATTACTTGCATGTTTCTTTTCAGCCTTTCTTAGCTGCTTGAGGCATGCGCTACACTCTGCACACATGGAGCGTATTTTATTGTAGGTTGACATCTAAATTAACAAATGTTGGGGGAAGCTGTGCTTTTAGTTTGGAAGTGTCGGCATTTCCTGAACTGTGTTATTGGAAGAGGAGCCCGCAGAAAGATACTTTCGACTTTGCCAAGTTCAGCTAAGACAGTTTGAAAATAACTGGGCCAATGTGGGAACACAGCCCTGGTTTATGCAAACAAGGTTTTTAGTGGGTGGGATTCGAAGGTAATTCTTTACCCCAGAATAATAATTTCATCTGCAGAGGGCTCTCCTTGAACATCTGGTTTATGTTGGGGGGAAAAGCCAAGTGAGGGCAAAGGTTTCCCAGAAATTACGTAGCTCCTGGGCTTTTCCCTCTCGAGAGAGAGAGCACAGCTATGCCTGCTTTCACCAGTAGTCTGCCAAAAAGAGCAGCTCTTGGAGCAAGTCCCTGAGGCATCAAGAAGCTGTCTTTGTTAGTGAACACCTGACAATGAATGAGCACCTGTTTGCAAGTGCAGCCACGTACAAGAACTTTGTCATTCAAAGGTGTGTCTGAGACACAATTCTCAGGGATGACATTGGAGACTAAATAGAATGCAATTTCTTGTACCTTTGCTGAAATAAATGGCTTCCTCATCCTGTGCACCAGAATATCCATGGTTCCTCATACGTTCTTGGATTTCAATTCCAGTTCCTGATCCACCTGCTGATTAGGGCTGGACAGAAATGCATTCCAATAATACCAGGGTCCAAGGTTGCACATTCCCATCATACAAACTTATGACTACAAACTTATGATCACTGTCAGGGGTGAAATCAGGGGCCACGGTGGCACACTGGCTAAACTGCTGAGCTGCTGAACTTGCTGACTGGAAGGTTGGCAGTTTGAATCCATGGGACAGGGTGAGCTCCTGCTGTTAGCCCCAGCTTTTGCCAACCTAGCCGTTCAAAAACATGTAAATGTGAGAAGATTTGCAGGAAGGTAAATGCTGCTCCATGCAGTCATGCTGGCCACATGACCTAGGATGTGTCTATGGACCATGGAGGCTATTCAGCTTAGAAATGGAGATGAGCACCACCTCCCAGAGCCAGAAGGAGAAGCCTGTGTTTCACTGTTTCTAGGCATTGAATTTTTGCCCTTGTGTTTGTATATGCTGGAATCCACCCTGAGTCCCCTCAGGGAGATAGGGTGGACTACAAATAAACCACCACCACCAGCATCGAAATCCATGAGCCTTACTGTAAACTGGGAATGTTTTTCTTCCAACTCATCTAATAAAAGTGGCTTTTGCAGGCTCAAATGAAGTAATGGGTAGAATCAATTGTTCACCTCTTGTTCAGCACACTTTGGGAGTTGATTTTAATATGAAGTTTGGTTTATTAGTTTGTGAGTGTTTGAAGGACTATATAAATGGGAAAATTTTATTATCCCATTGCATTTAGCCTGTCCCCAATGATGGCAAGTCCTTTTGGTGCCTGTAAATATTATGTAAACAGGTGGAGTTAATAGTGTACAACTTAACCAATGACTACAATATACACTTATATATAAGTCATTCTCATGGATAAATAGAGAGGGAAAGGGGCATGTAAGAAACAAATATTTTCCTGTGTATTGAGAGAACATGCTTAGGAAGAGCTCAAGAGAAGGAGTAGACCTGTTTATCTGAAAGGTTACAACTGGGTAGGGGGTAAGTTACATTGCTGATCCTAATATCTGCATCAATATAAATACAGATAGAGAAAGGAATATAAATTAAGAAAAGGAAGCAGACTGAAAAACAAAAGAGAGGAAGTGAAAGAAAAGCAACCTCCCTGTATTAGGGACCCAGCGCATAGGCAATGATAGACAGAGACAAGAAGCGTTCCCAGCAATGAGCAACAAGGTAGGAAACCTAAAAATATGGTGTGCGTGCTATTGCATGTGCTTGAGGTGGAGCAGAGTGGTGATGACCATTTTAAAGGGCTTCTTTCGTAAGCCTTTTTGCAAAAGGATTGCAGTGGCCATTTTAATCTGGTGCCCTTATTAAAAATAGTCACTCTTATTAAAATTGCTCACTAACACGTTACCTCAAGTGCCTGAAATGACTCCCCCATGTGGTTGATGAATGCTGCTCGGGTGGGGGGGGGGGGGGAGGTAAGGAAGGAAAGTGGGCTGCCTTTCTTTTTTCTGATTTGGTCAAGGGAGTGCTTTGTGTGTGTGTGTGTGTGTGTGTGTGTGTGTGTGTATTTTAGGAGTGACTTGAGAAACTGTGAGAGAATTGGCCATCTGCAAGGACGTTGCCCAGGGGATGCCTGAATGTTTTGATATTTTACCATTGTTGTGGGAGGCTTCTCTCATGTCCCCACATGGGAGCTGGAGCTGACAGAGGAAGCTCATCTGCACTCTCCCCAGATTTGAACTTCTGACCTGTCAGTCTTCAGTCCTGCTGGCACAAGGGTTTAACACATTGTGCACCGAGAGTACCAATGTGGTGGGAGTGAGTCTCATCTCTGCCTCCTATCACTGTGTTCACACTGGCTCGCTTTTCCAGCAGGGACCCATGTATGAGCTGGCTCAGGTGCTTGAAGGTGATTTTTGTAAAAGAAAAATTCAATTTATACACAATTATATATGGTAATTCCTCTTAAAAGTGTAACATCATCACCTCTGGTTTTATCTTATTAATATTTAGTTGAATGTGTGAATTGTCCGATACCATCCAAAATCAGTGGGTGATCTAGATAAGTTAATATTCATCAACTTTGCCCTACATCAAAGAGGAAATGAGTGTTTAAGAATTAGTCACCGTCACAAGTTGAGCAAGAGGAGAGCAAAGGGAGAAACAGAAAGGAAAGCTGTCAGGTTGACTCCCTCCAGGAGATGTTATATACACAAAGGAACTGGAACAAAAATTCCCCTTTCCTCCCCCTTTTTCATCTTGTTTTAATGCAGTGGTTTTTCAGACCAATTTGAGAGGCATGTTCAGAGAAGAGCTATTATAAGTGTCATGAACATTTCGAAATGGTTTCTAATCCTTTTACCAAACAATTTCCAAGCTGCTGCTCTGAAAAGAATAACACACATTTCCAAGATTTTTATCATTTTTTTATTATAGTAGAGTCTCGCTTTTCCAACATAAACGGTATGGCAGAACGTTGGATAAGCGAAACTGTTGGATAATAAGGAAGAATTAAGAAAAAGCTTATTAAACATCAAATTACGTTATGATTTTACAAATTAAGCACCAAAACATCATGTTTTACAACAAATAAACAGAAAAAGCAGTTCAATACCCGATAATGTTACGTAGTAATTACTGTATTTACAAATTTAGCATTGAAACATCCCAGTGTATTCAAACAGCTGTGGATCCAGGCAAGAGGCAGACTGTGTTGGAGAATACAGAATGTTGGATGAGTGGAGGTTGGATAAACGAGACTCTACTGTACTACCATTTCTGAAACACGGGACATTAGTCTTCTTGAACATATTCGTTCTGCCTAAATAATAGTTAAAATTCCAACATACTAATATGGTAGGAAATAATTAAAAGTTACAGTCCCCGCCCCCCCATATCCATGAGAAATATGTTCCTGAATATACTGTGGAAACTGGAACCGTAGATAATAGCAAACCATACTGAAATGAATTACAAATTTGCTAGGCCCTCCAAGGTAATTAGATGGTAACTTCCAGCACCGAATCACTTGGAGGACCTAGAAGATACCTAGGAATATTTTGTGAGATGTGGGCGGATGGAACCAGCTTGCAAGAATGGGGACTTGAGCGCAGTTCTTACTATTTGGCATAAGTGTTTGGCTGATTCAGACTGCTCCAAAATACCTAATCTGGAAGCCTCATTCTGCCACACATGCACTTTTGAGAGGTTGGTTCAGGCATTGTTTCTCAAAATTACTCGTTAGTATTAGTTGAGTCTCCTTTTTTCTGAAAACCAAAAAGACCCCAAAAAACCAAACGTTTCTGCTGCTGCACCCCCCACATCTGTCTTTAAGGAAGGGGACCTATTCATTCACACATGCAGCCTCCACTGAGGTATTCTCAAGGAGCTGTTCATTCCACTGCAGCCTGAAATTTGGTAGGCAGAAGAGAGGAGGACTCTGGATCTTGTTGCTCTGGCTACCTGGCTAATCCATGTCAGACTTTTCTTCCACCTGGCCACTGGTGGGGTAGGTGCCCTGCAAATGGGGTACAAGTGCAGTATGGATTGGCCAGAGCTTTACAACATTCTCCAAGTCTGCAGCAATTAGATGCATTGGGACGCCCCCCCCCCCCCCCCCCCCCCCCACCTGACATCTGCTTTTTGACAGGGAATTTGTGTAAGTCCAGCAGTAGAACCCAGAGCCTTCTCTTCCCTTCTCTTTTCTTGGTCAAATTTCTGACTGTGGTGGAATGGCAGCTTTGTGAGAAAATCTCAGCCGGGGCTGAATATATAAT